CTTGTGGGATAGCCGTCCAGTTTAGAAAACCACCCTTGGCACCTTTCCATCGTTGGAATTGGGTGTTGGGAACGGTGTCTGACCATTTTTCCTTAGAAAAACAAGAATCTGAGTGATTGGCCAGGTGTGAAGGAACGTAGGCAGGGTTTGAAGTTCTTACTTGAGCGGAATAATATTTCCCTGAGAGTAAGACAGAATGAGATTGACAGACAGATGCAGGCATTGTAATGGACGACTGCAGTTAAGAGTTGAGCTCTCAGTTTACACAGTGATCTACTTTATTGGCATCAGGGTAGAGAATGAAACTATGAAGTTGTGGATAAAAGTAGCCGATGCTAACTTCTATCTGGGGTTACCTGGGAGGACCTAAAGGGAGAGAGTGAGAAACTCAGATATCCAAAGGGAGGTTTTGGAAGAACCCCTTCTCCTTTTAGTTGAAATTAAAGAATTTGCTGGAGGAATTGCCCATATTTTCCGGGCAGGGAACACCCCAGGTAGAGCTGGATGATGTTTATCCCACCGCCAGTACCCAGTAACCTAATAAAAGGACTAAAAAGGGGTGGATACATTTCTTTGATCATTCTCTGGTTAAATACTTAACCTGAGTCTGTACAGGAATCTGCCAAGATCCATCCCTGACATTCTGACATCCCTAAGACAGTGGAGAGAGCTTGAGGAAATGAATGCAAATTTGTAATTATACTTCAGCAGCCATCTCAAAACACTTCGGTATCTTTTTGGTTTGATGGTTATCGGAGCCTTTTTCATTTCCTGCTAAACATTTCTTCAAATATTTGTATTGGCTTATGTGTCTGTGTAACTCCTTGCTCCTTGTCAGTATCCCTTTTGAATGACGGCCTTGATGGAGAGTAGTTTACACACACTGATAAAATGAGCCAATATTTACCTAAGCAGGAACTTAACCTCACTGCAGAGTCCAAAAAGATGTGAGAAAACGACTTCCGCTTTATATTTAATAGCCTTCATTGAACAGTCCCACATGTCGTATTAAATTGTGACCGTTGTGGTTAGACCACATGTCTTTACTTTGTCAGGCTTTTCTTTACAATAGGACATCCTTGAGCTTTGGATGAGCAAGTGTTTATTTTCATTTTATACAACTTTCCTATATCAATGAACTGTAATACGACTGAGAGAAACGCCAAATGGACCTTCACCCCCTGTGGAGCAGCTGTACTGCAGCAATGATGGGTTTTGCATTCCAGTCATGCTTCTCTGCAAACAGCAAGTAAACGAAGGCCTAACCCTGCATGCTCCCATGGAGAGGGCCAGCGATGAAAATGCATGTAATCATTGAAGGCAAGGGACAATTGCCCTGGGCTTTACCTTGGATCAGTGCTCAGAAATGGGGAAAAGGAATCTGGACACGAGGGAGGCAGCCAAATGCATCGGCATCATTGCAACTACACAGCTGCTTGTTAAAACAATGTTCCTTGAATATCTAGAGGAAGCAACATCACCAGAGGTTTAGACCTGTTGCATTGTCTGAATTTGACAAGCAGATGTCATTTGAAAAAAAAATGCATCGATTGTTTCCTACTTAATAGTTTTTGGGGTTTGGATCTGGCCCTCCAGGAGTCCACTACAAAATACAGGGAGGACAGAAGTTGCAGAGAAAGGATGAGGTTAGCCCTGTCTGCTTCCCAGAGGGCAGAAGCAATTTTAAGCTCTAGTGAGCCAGCTCCCCCAATACCAAAGTCTGAACACAGAACAATACTCAAGTTCATTTATGCACGTCCTCCCATGGCAGCAACTGACTTTTCTCACTTTGTTCTAATACACTAAACAAAAAGGGCACAATTAGGATTGTGGAATCCTCTCAAACACTTTCAATTCAGTTAGGAAGTTTAAGGACAGTGAATATATCTTCTTAAATGTAGTATACATAGATACATTAATCTACTAGGAAGTGCAAAAGTCTTAATATTCATCACCCTTTGTATAATAATAGAAGTGTCACTCATGTTGTGATTGTGCTCTGTCAGATGCAGTAGCGCTGACTGCAGTAGTACAGAGACTAGCAGGTAGGCTCTGTGATTGATAGCTATGCTAAGAGTGCCACTGCTGCTCTCCCCAGGCGATGGCAACTGCACTCGTTCTCAGCGGGCTGGCATGCCAGCATTTTTACCAACAGCACTGAAGCAAAGACATCCTCCTCCTGCTCAGTACAACTTCCCTACAATTGGGGTCACAAGTAAAGAATTGTACAAACTGAAACTGTAAAACTAAGGCCTTTTGGATCAAATGAAGCAAAGCTGTGGCTTTCCTTTGAAAGCCAAAGTGTGTTTTCACAGTAGGTTGATGCTACCATGGCTCACAATATGTGGATGGAAGCTTTACAACAAAGATCAGACTCCCCTGGCTGTTCAAATTGAGCTGAAGAGGATTTGTGCATCTGTAGTTGACTCTAGCAGGAGCACAGCTTTTGCTGTGTTGTGGCAGAGATTTCAGGTGTGGGATCAGGCTTATTGCAGCTGGAGGTGGACAAAGAGCAGCAAAGGGAGTTAACTGCATCCAATGTGCTTTGACCATCAATACTGATCCACTTAACTTTTCTAATCTCAAGCGAGCCACAAGTGTGTCCCATTTGTATTGTTGGGGTTTTTGAATATAAACCGGTGGACTTAAACATTTTATGGGGATTAGTCCAGTTTAGCTCCATGCCTAATGCAATGATTAGGGATTTTCTGGCACAGCAGATAAGGGAATTTTCACTAGTTACTCAGCAACTGCGCTAAACTGTTAAAGACCTTAAGCCAAAATGGCAAAGTCTTGGACAAGACCGCTCTCCATGCAGTAGTGTGTCACCCATAACACTTTAGAGTCTATTCACTTCGAATGCACTACACGTCATACATTAGTTCAACACTAGTCATCAACCATCTAATGAAATAATTGATTGTCCTCATCAAGTTCTAATATATTAGCTTACATACAGCATGTCGAGTAAGGTCTTCACACCTAACAGCAAAAAGTACAAAGCTATTGCAAAAGAGCTGTAGCATAACATATATGACTGTATCTATACTGGTTTTGTTCTTTGGCTAATGACTTTTTTGTAGTATGTCTACATTCTTCAGATGTAGCATTAATCTCCCAACTGAACAGACAATTCGATTCCCTTTTGCATGATTAAACTCTGGATGTTGTCTGAACATTGATGAATGTTTGTGGCTCACCAAATTGTTTTTAGTCAAATTTGTATTCAGTTCTTGGACAGCATATTGATCTTTCTCAGCTGAATGGTATTTTCAAAAGGCTTTTCATTTACAGGCTGAATAACCACATGCGGATCAAGTTTGATTAGTTTACAAAAGAAGGAGCTTGTGGAAAAAGTTGAAGCAGTTCCCCAGCCTGATAATATTTATTTCAAACTGAGAAGTGATATGCCATCGAGTGTGCCATAAAATCTGACCTACAGCGCCTGGAACTGCTCTAAGAGTTGGGGCCCAGCTCGGGAGGCAGAGAAGGCAAACCACATTACTCCTAATACCAAAGGCGTGTGAACACAAGACTGAGCATATACATCAAAGCAAGGTCTACAACACAGGCACATGTTTAAGGTTAAGGGCAAGAACTAGTGGGTCACTTGGGCATCAAATGAATTTTATAGTGCTGTATGAAGAGAATTTTAAAGTGCGAGTTGGAAATGGAGCTTTGATGATAAAATGTCAGCTCTAATTGTGTCAATAATTCCTTTTAAAGTTTTCATTGAACTCATTTTCACTTGGATTCTGTGTGTGAATGGGGTTTAATTACACTTTTCCCTATCTTTTTAAGAATGTACGGGCAAACATTGCACAGTCTAAAAATATATATTCTTGGTCGTTCGAAGATTGATCTTAAAACGCCCAACAACTTCAAATATAGGGGTTTTGAAGCACATTCAGCTGAAATGAAATGAAAAGACAGCAATTCAAGCCAAAGGCTAGTCATTAGGCATTATGTGGTCAATCGAAGTGGATAGGCGAGCAAAAGCCTAGAAAAAAAGAACAGCTTTGAGCACTTTGCAGGAAAAAATAAATGGGCAAATGTATTTTTTATTTATCGCATGGATTTTTACACTGGAAAATATGTTGCCAGTGCCTGTTTGTGTTTTGTTATCCTTGTTTTTGCAGATATAACTTGGTCCAAACAGGACTACATGAAATACTTTAATAAAGAATTATACATTACATAAACTCAGTTGTCCAGTAAAGGAACAATCTCGTTCTTCCACTCATTAGTTTGAAATAAATTGCGTTTGATTGCCTCATTTCCATGCATCTTATCTTTCATCAGCCATTCATGTGTATTTCAATCGTGCAGTCCCAATTTTAGAGTTTTTTCTCTCTCAATAATGAAGCAGGTGTCTAATGGGGAGATGTTGTTTATGCAATAATTATGAAAAATATCTGTGCCAGATATCTTAGCAGCTAATTACCAATGTAATTGGTATACAGACAAATTGGTACTGTTCTTTGATGAATTTCTTTTAGACGAGCTTAAAGCTGATGTAAGAAAAGGTCACACCGCTCATTCGGATGTTATAGCGGGATATATAGTTATATTTTATAATCTACCTCTGGATCATCATTAATCTACTCTCACATCATTACACGTTTAACAATGGCATTGTTTTTTTGCAGCAAAGTGATTTTATTTTTCTGAATATGACTGAAACTAATAATAACATATTCAATAATAGTAACTCCATGTTAAATAATAAAATACTGCTGAAGTCCCACAATAAGGTTTTCCTAGTGTTTTCTGGATATTTTGAACATATATGTTCCATGCCAAGTTGAAGGAAAGGCATGGGATTTCTTTTGAGTTAACAAATGTACCTTAATAGCATAATTGAACTGTGATTAAGCTATGAACCTATTATTCATGCCATTAAAAAGTCTTCAGATGACTCAAAAGTTAAACTGACACAGTCATCTTTCGTGCCTCATAACAAATCTTCTCTTCTCTTTTGTTCTTTCTCTTAGATTCCATCTGAGTAGGAGGTGGCAACGAAAGACCAAATGCCATGGATGTATTTAATTTCACTTACTGGAATGCCTCCGAAGGCAATGGCACAGAAGTTGTGGAAGAGAGCGAAAGCGCCTACAAGACTGTGGAGGTGGTGTTCATCGTGTTGGTGGCCGGTTCTCTCAGTTTGGTTACAGTTATTGGAAATATCCTGGTCATGCTTTCCATCAAAGTTAATAGGAACTTACAGACGGTCAACAACTACTTTTTATTCAGCCTCGCATGTGCTGACCTGATTATTGGACTGTGCTCTATGAACTTGTACACAGTCTACATCGTAATGGGCTACTGGCCCCTGGGCCCGGTGGTGTGCGACTTGTGGTTGGCCTTGGACTATGTTGTCAGCAATGCGTCTGTCATGAATCTTCTCATCATAAGCTTTGACAGATATTTCTGTGTCACCAAGCCCCTTAGCTACCCTGTCAAGAGGACCACCAAGATGGCGGGAATGATGATTGCAGGAGCCTGGGTCCTGTCTTTCATCCTGTGGGCACCAGCTATTCTATTCTGGCAGTTCATTGTCGGTGGGCGGACAGTGCCTGAGAGGGAGTGCTACATACAGTTCTTCTCCAATGCTGCAGTCACTTTTGGCACCGCCATTGCCGCCTTTTACCTGCCTGTGATCATCATGATTCAACTCTACTGGCAGATCTCCAGAGCAAGCAAGAGCCGCGTGAAGAAGGATGTCCGCAAGCCCTCAGCAGCCAAACCCGAGCCCCTGTCGCCTGCTCAGAGGAATAGCACTCCAAAACCCAACAATAACAACGTACAGGGGGAGGACCCAGGTGGCTGCCAGAGCCAGAATGCCAAGGATGGAGCTAACCAGCACGATGGAAAACTGCAAAATGGCAAGGGACCTTCCTCGACAAATGCTGAGGGAGAAACCGAAGGTGACGATGTGGCGAGAGAGAACTGCGCTCCTGGAGAAGAGAAGGAAAGCTCCAATGAATCAACATCTGGCAGTGTGGCTGCGTCCAATCAGAAGGATGAAGAGGCGGCACCCTCGGCCGCTAACTCCAGTGCTGAAACGAGACAGCCCCTCCCCCGCCAGCGAGCCAAGGCAGGGGGCTCCAAGCTGACCTGTATCAAGATCAAGACTAAATCGCCCAAGGGTGACTGCTACACCCCGACAAACGCCACCGTTGAGATCGTCCCGGCCTCAGAGCGGCAGAATCACGTGGCGCGGAAGATCGTGAAGATGACAAAGCAACCTCCCAAGAAGAAGAAAGGACCGCCATCACGGGAGAAAAAAGTGACCCGCACCATTATGGCCATCCTGGTAGCTTTTGTTGCAACCTGGACTCCTTACAATGTGATGGTGCTTATAAACACCTTCTGCTCAAGCTGCATCCCCAACACAATGTGGACTATCGGCTACTGGCTGTGCTACATCAACAGCACCATCAACCCAGCCTGCTACGCTCTGTGCAATGTCACGTTCAAAAAGACATTCAAGCATCTTCTCCTCTGCCAATATAAAAATAGTAGGTCAGCCAGATAAATATGGGCCACTTAGGAGGGAGAGTTGAAGTATGAGTTGTCCGTTTGTGTGTGCCATCTGTGAGTGTGTGTGTGTGTGTGTGTGTGTGTGTGTGTGTGTGTGTGTGTGTGTGTGTGTGTGTGTGTGTGTGTGTGTGTGTGTGTGTGTGTGTGTGTGTGTGTGTGTGTGTGTGTTTGAGTTCTGTGAGCATGATAGAGCCTGCATGAGTCCATTCGACATTAGTTCCCTTCATTTTATCCTTTTGTTTTCCAATTTCCCTCTCAAAAACTGGTTGTAGCACGTCACACCAATGTAACTGATTCCAGTTGCGTCAAGATGTGTCGTGCAGAAGCAGAACAGATTAGGAAGGTTGCGCAAAATTAAGTTTTACTCAAGTGTTGTACAGTAAGCTAAACAAATCTGGCTGTGTAAAGCACGGAGCACTTGGGAGTGACACTGAGCTGATAAAAAATGAGGAATGATAAAGAGCAGAGGAAGATCTGCACTGTACGAAAACACACAACTTCAAATGGGAAAATAGGGCTGACTGACTTTTCAAACCTAAGAAGTTTGACGTTCAGTAGAGATACATGTAGATAACTGTACATATCAGTGTAGACTCAATATTTATGTCACATGTGGGTGTGTGCTGACTGAGTATGTGTGTACACTCATGTTTGCCCCTCTGCTTACTGTCTGTCTGTGATCTTTATCATGGCACTTCCAACCAGCCACATGTAGAATAAAGTGGGGCAGCTTGCGTAGATTGCCTCTTTAGTGGTTACATTAGGGCTGGAAGATATTCCATCTGCTTATGAGCCCCTGTGGGATTGAGTCGCCATCAATACATAATAGATATATAAATATATTTAGCCTGCACTTCAGGCAAATTACATTAAAACAAAAAAAACATTTACTCACTTGCCTTAACTGGTGTGTTTAGCCATCACGCTTTGTTTGTGTTGATTTTATTTGGTGTCTCAAAATGTCTGCCTCCCCCTTCAAGCATGAATGCTATATTGTTTGTAGTCACAACATAAAAAAACATTTAAGACACAGTCCATACTGATTATACTTCTTCATTAGAACTATTTTCTAATGAAGAAGTAATCTCTCCCACTTAACTCACTTCAAAAAGTTAACAATATCTGAAAAACTTATGTTATTCTTTACAAGAGTTGAAAATACAAACTTGTTTATCCAATACATCACTACTTCTACTAGCTTGAATCTTACTAACAAACAAACCCCCACTTTGATGAAAAGTTTGGTACCACTCAGGTCATATAGTTATGAAGCTAGGCTAAAGTTAGCCTAGCTTAGCTTAGCATAGATTCAGGGAGCCAGGGGAAATGGCTAGCCTCGCTCCATTTATCAACACCTCTAAAGCTGAATGATTAACAGATTATATCTTGTTTGTTTTTGTGCAAAATGCAAGTTGTATATCTGTGGGAATATTTATTTTTTGGCAGGGAGCAAAAATTATTGTTGTCTTGTCAACACTGAGGAAATCACTACACCCGGCCAATAAATAATCCCACACATAAAACAACGACTTGACGTTTTGGATTACAAGCTGCCACTAATCATCACAAAGTAGGACCAAATAGCTGTTAGAACAACAGACAACAATAGTTATGACTAAATAGAAAATGGTGGCATGAGATTGTTCAGTCGCACTCTTTCATCGTTCAGTCGCACTCTTTCATTTACGTCATATCAGTTTTTACTATTGTTGACAGGATTCAATTTGAGTGGTTATTAGGATTTTTATTGTTGCTTCTAGTAACCATCCCTCTGTGAGTGAAACAGGTGGCTGGAGCTCAGAGCTGAGGCGTATTACTGTTTGTGGGAAGGCATTGTGTGGTGTGTGTTTGTTTTTTGGCGTGTGTGGATGAGTGGGAGACATCATATGATTCTGCTGATTAATAGATTGATGTCACAGCGTGTACTGTACTCACTATACTGATGATGATTGTGAAGTGTGTGTGTGTGTGTGTGTGTGTGTGTGTGTGTGTGTGTGTGTGTGTGTGTGTGTGTGTGTGTGTGTGTGTGTGTGTGTGTGTGTGTGTGTGTGTGTGTGTGTGTGTGTGTGTGTGTGTGTGTGTGTGTGTGCGTGCGCGTGATCTTGTGTGATGCGAGTGTGGGTATACCTGCTGATGTGTGTTTGCGCCAAGAGTGGAGTTTACTTCTGATCACAGGTTGGTTAAAACCTTGTGATTTAAATAAGGGCTATTTCTGCGTCTTTAATGTACACATTCGTAATCCATCGTTTTATTTTGAAAATGAACAAGCGGGTTAATTCATTCTATGTAAATCATTTTATTATTAGATTGAAAACAATAAATAGCTGTGTCTTATTTTAATTGAAAAATAAATTAGAAAAATATCAATTTACTGTAAGACATGTTCAGTGTATCCATGCATGTCATCCATCATTTCAACATATTAGCCAATTCTCTGTTACGGTAATGTATGCTCACCAGTTGGAGTGATGAATATTCAGGAGCATTTGCCATCAGGAGGTTGCCACAGCGGCTGGTAGGGGGGCTTTGCAGAGAATTACTCCTGCACGGAATATCTCCTCAAGGCTGTCTCCTTATACAGAGATCTGGGACAGATCCTATAATGAAAACTCACCATGAGGCTGATCAGATTATAGGACGATGTGGAACACCTACATTTGAGATTAAAGATTGCCCATTACACGCTCAGCTTGTGCTTGCATGCTATGCGCCCATGCCCTACTTAGTGCTCCACTCGGTCCTGATCCTGGTATAGTCTCTACCTCATATATGAGGTCATGAATGTAATGCAAATACCACATTTATTCATTAGCTTGCTCTATTATTAATTCCCTAACTTCTGCACTCATTAAAGCCTTCGTTCCTGCTATGTCAAAGCTCCTAAGTGCAGAGTCAGTACTTGCATTCAAGTGTTGTAGTCACAGAAATACATTAAATGTTTGCATAAAGGTTGCACACTGACATTTACATTTATTTGCTGGCAAATAGCAAATGCTTTGTTAAATTACCAGCCATTCATAAACTCTGTATGCATCCCCAAAATGTTGCATTACATCAGTGGTGGAAGAATGATCCTTTACTCAAATCAAAGTTACAATAAATACATGTAAAAATAATGTTTAACAAATGATACTCGTGCATTTAAAATTGTACTTAAGGTGAGACAACTTCTTTGACAACTTAAGTCTATTTACAAATCGCAATAGTTTCTTCTTTTAATACAATTGAAGCCATTTATGGTCAAAATGATTCTTAATATGGTCAGGATAGTTCTAATGATCCTACATGTGACATAGGAAGGGGAGCCAAATAAGAATACATTTTTTAACCCAATGTTTTCTGACCTGGGCAGCCAACGAAAACTGACCATGTCATCTTATTTCAAAGTTTGTGCGTTTGGTTGGCACTCCAGATGCCTAAATACGGGGATTTCCTCGATATGTCCCATTTGATATACATAATTCTGAATGGGCCTTTAGAGTAATTGAACTTTTTTCCCACTAGAAGTACCTATAACATTTTGGTATTTGAGTAAATGCACATTCCACCTCTCCTGCTCTTCATAGATGGTCCATGTTTATCTGTCGAGACAGTTTCCGCATGAAGTGAGGCATCCATCCCAGCTCGACATCCAACCATCCGTCACGTTGATAAGTGGAACCATGTCTGTCTGACATCCGTCACACGTCTCAGTAGTGGGTAGAGAGCCTTCCAGAATATCTGATTAATCTTTGCTAAGCTGTCGTTTGAGTGATACCAGCAGGAGAGTATGTGGCTCACAGTTCAAGCGGTGGTCCAGGGGTCCCAGTTTGAGCAGCTGCTTGAGTGTTTGATGGAAGGTGATGGCAGTTTATCACCTCCTGGAGCGGGAGAGATGCATCTAAAAACAAACAAAAGTGCTTTCCGTGCTTATCTCCACAGCGAGCACTTTAAACGTCAGGAGTAAAGTTCTCAAAAACCCCTTCGCTCCCCCCCTTCTCCTGTTGCCAATATGGTGGACGGATGAGAACAAAAAGACGTTGTTGTATCAGGCGTTGTTGGGGGGGTGGGGGTGGATGATATGAGAGAATGTGGGCTTATGATAGAACGAGAAAGCGTTGTTTGTCGACAGCGAAAGAGAGCGGCTGTCATGCGTGTGAGGGAGATAGCCCCCAAGGTGTACACTTTGTACGTTTAGAAACAGATAAGCTTGCCTTTGTAGTCATGGCTACGAGAAGGGGAGGAGGGGGAGAGACGGGGGCTTGTCAGTGACAAAATCCAAAGCTAGAGATTCAGCCTGCACCATGTTTGGAGAAGTCACAGCCGTTCTGTGCAGGTCAGCCAAGGGTTTTGATGCAGGAATTCGAGTGTCCCAGACGAAACCTGCCGCCTGGTGTAAACACAGCGAGATACGGTGCTGTTTACCGGCGCTGTTTACCGTCCCTGCCACGCTTTTATTGCATCTCATGCTCATATTGTGCAAACAGAATCCACCGTCTTTGCTTATTATATTATAACCTTCTTACTTTACGAGCTCTAATGCATATATGCTCACCTACGGACCATATATTCTGATGTTCATCTGTCTAATATGACTAGAATAAACATTGTCTCCATTGTAATCAACAGACCATCATGTGCCGTCAGAGCTAGCTGGGCTCCTCTTCACACGGCTAATGTCAAAGGGCTAGGCTCCTTTTACGGAGTACGTATGACATTTATCAGAGACAACTTCAAATGTAGGTTTTCTCTGTGCTTCTCTCTCTCTGGGCTGTTGCTGAGAATAATTTCGGCAATCTTGTGCAGCCATGCAGAATTGAAAACGCAGCAGCTTGTGCATGCTGGGAGAATTCTAATCGGAAATTATATTTATATCGCCAGATTGTACGGAGCAATTGAAAGTGCCTTATCCAGAGAAACATAAAGAAATTGCTCTTTTATCCCTCAATCCCTGTTGTATCTTACAGTGAGTGTGTCTGTGTGTGTGGACGGGGCTGCAGTGTGATGCCAATTAGAGAAAGTGTTCAGCCTTTTAAAATTAAGATTTGATGTTTCTCAGCTCTGAGCTCCCAACACTACCTATAGTAACAGCCACTGTGATTGCAGAGTGGACTGAACAATCTAAAATCATCCTCTCAATCCTTTTGAAATCATTTCTCAAAACATGTGACATCATTGACACATTTCAATACTATCTAAGAGGCACAGCGGGCTATTTATTTTTTTGTTCATCCAGCATGTGTGTGTGTGTGTGTGTGTGTGTGTGTGTGTGTGTGTGTGTGTGTGTGTGTGTGTGTGTGTGTGTGTGTGTGTGTGTGTGTGTGTGTGCGTGCGTGCATTGACACCCATCATGTGGAAAATTGTGTTTTCCTGTGTGTGTCTGCCTTTATACTGAGAACAGTGCTGTCATTGGTCAGCGTGGGTGTGTGCATGCAGCTTGATGTGCAGTGTTTGATTTGTTCTCAATGGCATCCTCAGCATGAAGACATCAGATTTGGACAAAATATCATGGCACACATCAGGGAAGATGCACACAGTGTATTTGTCTATCTCTCTGTCATCACTCCTTTCTCTTTAAAAAACGTCGTTCAATAGCAACAGGTTGCAAGACTCACTTAGACACAGTTTTGTGTGGTATTGGAATACATATAAATACTTATATTGTACATTTTCTATCACATTTAGTAAACCTGTTTCTTTTATCACTGTAAAAAGTACAAGTGTAATATTCCAAATTAAAATAAGATCAGTGTACAGCAAGAGAGTTTAGTTTTTTTCATTTGAAATTGAAATTGCTATTTAAAATCTTTAAATATATGAGTATTATGGAAAGTATTTGAAGAGAATATTGTTATAAGAGGAGAAGGTATAAATATATGTGTATTTCTGGGGGCATGATTTGCTAAGGATGAATTATTGCTTTGCAAACTGAGCGACTGGATCCAAACTGCGGGGATTTCAAGAATGACTTTTGCTGCCAGATGGGTGAAAATAGAGCAAATTGGAAATCCGAAGATGGACGAAGGCTAAACTTTGCTTCCAGTGACGTAAAGGCCAAGAGGCAAGTGACTTCATTTTGATTTGACCTGTTAGAGACACTCACCTTGGAAAGAATTTGGTCATCTTCTATCTTACCGTACACACTTTCTAACTTTTAGCAACTTTACCATCCTGGGGAAAAGGTTGTTTTTTTGTGTAGAGCAACATAAGTGTTGAGCTTTTTGACCTGATCTGAAATTCAACGGTCAAGATTAACATGTGGATTTAAAACAAAATTAGCACAAAAAAAAGAGTAAATAAAAAAAAAAAAAATGAATAGCCTACTGCAAATGTCAAGTGTACATACAAGTGTTCATTTTTCATTTGCCTATGTACGTAGATGTTCATGTATATTCACTCACTGTGGCTTGTGGCTTCTCTTGCAATAGGTAAACATATTTTACAGTCTATTGTTTGCATTGTATATATCTATATGATAATAAAGTATATGTAATTCAGATGTGGTACATTTGAAATGTACATACACGTCTTTAATAGCTTATATCTGAATGTTTCCCTCATTTATGCTTCTCCCCCTCCCCCACTATGATACTTCCTGTACAGTAACAATGGTATTAATTTCCTTTTTTGATGCATTCTTAATTGATTATATGTTCTGGACAATGAATCTGAGTGTTATTATTATTGGCCACCTACGACACTGTAAGATGAACTGCATTACGTGGTTACATTGTGCCATATTCTCTCAGAATGGAATTCAAATAAAGATAATATGAAATGTGTTTTTAATATCTGAGTTATTGAATGTGAGGATGCACCGGGTGAAAGAGAGGAAAAAAAAGTTCTAGCTATTTATTTTTCATTCATTTTTATTTTTGGAAAGAGGATACAAAGGGAATGTTAACTCCAACCGAGAACGTTTTATAGCCAAAAGCTGGAGGGTAAAAATCAGTGGGTATAAATTGAGGTACCACAGAGCAGCAGGAGGAAAAACACTAAAAACAGCAGTAGTTTGCACACTTGTAGAGAAGCTTTTTCATGCAGCCTCCAAACAAAACTAGCTTATGTTTATTCTAACTTGAAATGGAAGAAAAACATCAATAGCATAGAGTAATGGGGAAGGCGTTACCAATAACTTGAGACATTAGAGATGCACATCTTTTTTTCTCCACAAATTAATTAAGTAAAGATGTTTAGAGCTTCACTTTTAGCAAACTGCTTCATTAAGCATGGATCCAAGAGTTTTCCAAATTAGAGTTAGGCTATTCAACTGTATAACAAATCCTATTTATTCGTAAGAAAATAATCCTAGAAACAACATCATTAGGTAAAACACTAGTAAACAAATCTCTTTTTGTATTCCCTACCGCTGAGTATTACATCTCCTATCGCAACATACAAGTTGTTTCTGTTTTTTATCAGGTGCTAGAAAGAAGAAAAAGTTAAAAATGTTGTCACTAAAAGACATATTTCAACTGGTTTTGTCAAAGCTCTAAAGGCTCCTACTGTCAATCTACAGGACATACAAAGAGGAACCGTGGTGAATTAGGGCAGTGGACGTGCTTCCCAGCTCTTCTTCCTTCCTCACAGGGAAAAACATCCTCATTAGTCCATTTGGGTGCGATCTCGCTTCTTGCCGTCCTTCTTTTGCTTCTTTGCATCTGCAAAAACAGAAAAGAAAAGGATTTGCAGCACACAGTGTTTACTTTGACAGTTTCCCTGCCAGAGGTGGTGTTTTTGCATGTAAACAAATCCCATTGTCTCCATGAAGAGCACATATGCTACGCTTCAGATTTAAATAATCAACCGTATTAGTTTTAATTAGTTTTTGTGCATGCATTCCCAGCCTGCTCTTGGGAATTGATTTGTGGTGTGGTGTACGCCCCATGAAAAAACGCTTTATCAACTTCCCGCAACAGTGGCCGTTTCTCAATCGCGAGGAAACTGGCTTCCAAGCCAATATTTCAAGGATACTACGTCATCGAGTGCCGCCGAAGGACTGTTCCAATCTCCGGCATATTGGAATTCCACCGAGGCCACGTCCTTGGTTTGGGGGTAATTTCGAGGCTGCACATGGGTAGACTTCGCGTCCTTCAAATCCCCACAATGCTTTGCGCACGGACCAATTTCAAAAACCCTTGCGGAGAATGGCTGAACCGACCCAGTGCAGCACACATTTAAATCTAAGTATGTAGTGGCGTAGAACATGTGTTGGTAAATATGTTACTTTGTTGCATTTGTTATCACCAAAAATGTGTGCACACTTGTTAGCCTGTTCCATTCTTCTTTGTTTTCCGAAGCCGTTGCTTGGAAGTATACTTGCTTTGTTTCTGAAGGAAGTGACTTGGAAGTATGCGACTACCAAGCCAGTATCCTCGCGATTGAGAAACGGCCACTGACTCTGTACCTGGCAGCCATGACAGAAGCCACAGTCCATGGCTTCCCTTTCTGCTTTGCGGCCTCTCCGCTCTGCTTAACAGGAAGAGAGCACAACCTGCAGCCGTTTGGCTAGCTAGCTCCTGGCTAACTGTTTTGGTTGACTGTCAATCTTCCTGGCTGTTTGTGTATCTGCCTCATACCTTAATTTGCATTTCCTAAATGCTCAGTAGGTAACATTTGGCTGAATTTGGCGTCAATTTGATATGGGGACACTCCATTGAATATGATTTGTATATTTATTCACATTTGTGATATAGGTAGGTAATGTAGGCTATGTATGCAGTTTTTGTTGAGACAAGCTAGTTGTTTCCCACTGTTTGCGTTTGTTTGCTATGTTTAGTAAGCTTGCTGTTAAAAGTAGATTCATATTTAGGTTACAGACAGAATGGTGGTCTCAATCTGATTGCATTATTCTTGGCAAAAAGCAGAAATGTCCCAAAATGTGGAACTTTTGTGGACATAAAATAGAACATAAAAATGAGCGGCCATCAAAAACTTCAATCTGTCACACCATTATGGTTTACTAGGGTTAGGGTTAGCCTTAATGTTATTTGTAACACCTGCACTTTTCAAGTCGAAAGGGCCAATGTCCTTTTTGGAAAAATTGTGAATAAAAGTGTGCGTGCAACTTCTGTCCATCTAAGTACATATTTTCTAAAAGATATTGTCATAACTTTGCAGTTCTTAAACGCTTGCCCCATCTTATATCTTACTTCAAGTAGTGTTTTATTGCTAGCTCTTCCTTGAAAGTTTGGTTTATCTAAAAAGAGAAACAGTATAAGAAAAGATCAAATAACTCGTGATTTTTTTTTTATGCAATGGATTATCTTAAAATAATCTCAAATCCTCTAATGACATGCCGGCAAGTAGCTATGAAAAGTGACAAGGTATGCTAAGTCAATTAGATTTCAGTTGAGTTTCAGCCGCTCAACATTCAGAATGTTCACTATGAGAAATCTCTTCCTGCAAACTTCCGTAGGCAAAAAGATGTTGACGTGCAAAGCGCTCTAGCCCATGTAAATACGGAAATTGCTCTTCCATTCCATTTGTTTGCTTGTTTTTAATTTGTTTGAATATTTTCTCTTTTTCATTTTTCTTCTCTTCGCCCTGTTGTTTTTGTCAGCATATTCTGCTCCCCTGGGAGAGAGATGGCGGAAAGGATTCACTCCCTGTCTTTCTCTGTCTCATCTTTCTCCGTATGTGAAATGAGGAATTTGTATCCAGGCTGGAGCACTTTCTGCTGCATTTGCTCATTACATGACACTGCTTGCTCTCCTCTCTGCCTCTGACACACACTCATAATCACGCTGGGCTGCCTTCTCCGGCTCTAAACTGCCCTGAGACGAAAAACAAACCAACATTTCTGGCCAAGACGAGAGCAGCCTCTGACTTTTTGGCATTTTTTAAGTGTTGGAATGTAGCCATCCAAACACATCTGCTTAAGTTCTGGGGTATATTTACTATTCCCTGCATTTAAAGAACTATACTTCTACCTCAACAACATTTCATAGTGAATAAATATCCTCCACTGTACTTATTTCACATGTATAGTAACTTCCAGCTGTAAATAAAGTATAACAAATTAGCATCTCGACTGGTTGCAACATCAAAATACTGCATGCAACATGGATGCATTAATAACCTAAATATATCCGATAGCAATCAACAATACAAGAGGTTATTTTTTCCCCATTTTAATAATTGTACCATGTTAAAAATATGGCATAGAAACGTGTCATATTTCGGCTTCCTAGAAGTGAAGATTGCTAAATATCCTGTCATTTGTCAGCTGTCACCTGTCTAACAAATGAATTAACATTACAAAATAAAGTAAATGTAAAAAGTACAATGTAGCTTTCAAAGGCTGACAGACACAGCTAATGCAAAAGTATTTTAACTTTAGATCGATGTAGTATACTAATTAACCATTTCAAATGAACAAGAAAGTTGTGCAGAGTGAGGTATCTGTCTTTGGATACTTTCCACTTTTGTAGGACAGAAACAAGGAGTGGGTGTAACAATAATAGTCAGTGTAGCTCTGAATGATGTCTTTATTTAAAATGGGAACACCACCTGCCTGTCCAGAAAGAATTACACAAACAAACAAATTCCCGGATTCATCTCAACAGAGCCTTTTGTTTAACCTGAAATTAACTCTGGCATCCAAACACCTCAAACACGCTGCTCTCTGCTGAAAGGGAAGGTGGGGACCTTGAGCTTTCTGCAGGCATTCATAATGTTTCATTTCTGTCACTCTTTGTTCTCTCTTACGCTCCACGGGGTCTGCGTTTCACCTGTGCTCGACAGCAAAGACATGCAACTCTGAATCTCAGATCGCTCCCTGAGCGCCTCTTAGCATTGTCTCCAGAATCGGCAAATGACAGATGCTACCTCCCATCACAGAAAACCTGCTGCAGTCAGGGGAAACCAATCTCCCAAACCAAGGTGGCTGTTCAGAATTGCAGATTTGGCCCGGCAGATCTCTGCTCCCAGCCGAGGGTTAGATAGCCTCTCCTCTCTCCATCTCAGTCACTCCAAAGCCAAACATGTCTGGGGTATTTCATAAGCTCCCTGATCCCGCTGCTGTGGACTGTATCTCTGCCATCCCCAGACACAGAAAAGCATTCACGATTCCCCTACCTGTACACACCTCATTGTGAACAGCACCCCCTCTTTCTTTTTCCGAGTAACCCCTTTGCTCGTCGGGGCTTATCTTCCAACTGGCAGACGCGGAAAATCTTACGGCGCATAACATTCAATCACATTGCCCCAAAAGCAGGTCTCTCTTTCCCACTGCTTCCCTTCATCATGGTTACTGTCATCCTCGCTCTGCTTCTCAGTTTGCGCTCAGCCCGCACACCTCTGTCACTCTGCATCCACGCGTCTGGCCTTCATAGGAATTGATGCACGCAGGTAGGCAGCAATGGTTGCAAATCAAACATATTTTCTGTTGCATATCTACACAAATAATCCTGTATCTAGATATTTACATTGGAATTAAAAATATAGAAAGCAAAGCAGTCAGTGTAATATGTATTGTATATATGTGTCAAAGGGATTGTAACTATTGTCTTGTGGCTTTAGAGGTAGGCCTAAAGGGACTAGCTGACAGTTTTGGCAACTTTCTTGTTGGACTTAGCGACGTTTGGAACTAGTGCTGTTAGATGCTGTCATTTGTTTGGCAACATTGATCTGGGATTTCTGGTTGGATAATTAAAAAGTATAGCTGGCTTGCTTGCTTCTGCAACTCCTCAAGCTCAACAACTAAAACAAGACTTGTTGATATGAGATGTCCACAGTTGCACAGTTCAAAGGCAGATTGAGCAAATATGCCTTTGGGTATATGTGAGTGTGAGGGATGCTGATGTATTGGAGACCTGTCTCCTCTTCTCAATCGCCCCCACTGCATTAAGGGATAGGTTCCATCCCCCATAGCTCTCAACGGCCTGGATCAATGTCGCAAATGGATGTCCTCCAAATGTAAAAGCAACACACGTCATTGGTAATGGTCCTTTGCTCCCAATGGACAAGAGTGATAATTATGGCTGCTGGAGGTCTTTAACATAAACATGTGTCATTATCGGGCATTTGCTGAATACTGACTGATTTGCTGACGGCTGCTGTTGTTTCGGTGGACCCCTAATATATTCCAATAATAAATCCAGCAGCATCCTATAATATATACTTGCTGTAAGAATTAAAGTAAAGTTCAGCTCCTTGACAAACCTCCTGTCACAATGCATTAATGATGTGCTACAGAGCATAACTTTAAACAAATTCCTCCTTTTTAGAGTCAAATAGACTTTGGCAAAACACCTCGAGACCAGCATTCAAGCAGACGGATGTGATACAGTCGGCATCTGCAGACATCCTGTTAGGGGGACATTTAATTTGTCTTATCAATGTTCTTTGGAGCTTTATGTGACTGTGGCTGTTTTATGAAGTGACAGCTAAGTTAACCAAGCTCCATGTGCAAACCTTTGTGTGCACACATGTCATCTGCTGAGCGTGATAAGGGCTTAGTTTATGACCATTGGCAGCGATTCCGCACTAATTATAGTCTTGTTTGGACAATGGGACAGTCACAGTGGGTCAGTTACATCCTTGTTTACAGATTTAACAAAGGGCATCGCCTCACTAGGATTACATTTAGAGCTTTGTTATCAGCAGTTTTACACCAAGCAGACACTGAATTATTCTACAAGCATCAACCTGGTATTCTCCCATTAGCTCACATCTTGTGTCTACTCCAGTTTACCAATAACTACCTGTTTCCTGTAGAATATGGAAGCAGAAGCCCTCTGAGACTTCATTTTATTTGACGTCACTAAAGAGCATTAAAAGCAAGTACGGTAATTACAGCTGAATAGTGAGTTAACCTATTCACCTGTGATTTAACACTGTCAGTCACCTCTTCAGCTTAACACTTAAGTATGGATTTCAATCATGCTTATGTGAATGTGCATCTCAGCTGGCATTACCTGAGATTAAAATAATTTGCAAGGATTTGTGGGATTTAACGGAGATGCCATCAGTGTGGGATGTGTCAGAAGATCAAAAGAAATCCAGTCGCTAATACACCTTGATGCACATATTGATGCGAATGGCTCCTAATTAACATTAAGATCATTTTATTTGAGATTTTTACCTAGTTGTCATAGGTGAAAAACACAACATCCAAAAACAGCACAAAATATACAAGCTTGTCACAGGGACGGTTAGCAGTTCAGCTGAATAAACAAAGACACACTAGTGGTAAACATCCCTTCAGCTATAATTAATTAAATAAACCAAATAATCCAATGTTCCCTGTAACTGTTTACAGTGATTTGGCGGTGCAAGAAAGTATTGGAGTGATACGTCGCATAAATCATTAGTTGTTTCTATAGGTATTTTCTTTTTATCCAAACTGACCTTATGAGATCTCTCAATACAAAATAAACAACATTTACAGCTTTCAAACTAGTCGAAAAAGATGACTGTGTTGCATCAAGGGTTTGAGGACTGTGTATTTGAACAAGTTAGCTTACATTACAAGTCTTGGCTTTGACATGGGTGGTACCTTTATTGCTTCAATACATTTAATTGGGCCAATATGTTTAGAATAAAAGATCCTCATCCTCAGAGTCATTTGATGCAGTATACAGTTATTTGAGGGAATCAAGTTGCCATCCTGATTTTGAGCAGTTTGCTTCTGAAACCAAACACTAAAATATCATATATTTTGTTACAGTGCAGAAAACCTTTTCTCAGGACATGGTGATTCATCAACAGGACTTCAGTCCAACCCCCCTGATGCTGACAACATTTTCCAGGGAGGGTAACATTTTATCAAGTGATGATTTATTCTTCTCAGCTTACCTTGCAGCTTAGTCTTGGGGATTTTCCCACAGGGCTTGGTGGCTGTGACAGTGGCGGCGCAGGTTGCATCGAGGAGCGCTCGCTTCAGCACGCCTGTTCTGTTCTTCTTTCCCGTCGCCAGATCGCACTCCCCCCAAGCCTGGAAGTCATACTTGCACTCCCCTGTGGAACACAAAGAAATCACGTAATTTATTAGATGCTTTTGTATAGTGAAGTACCTCTGATAGTAAGAAAACCTGGTAAAAGAAATGACCCAAAGTAACATGTACATTTTTTTTTAAAGGTCCCCTATTATACTGTTTTTCATCAATATATTATAGGTCTCAGATATATACAAAATAAGTCTCTGAAGTGTTTGGCTCGAAACACCACACAGATCATGCATTGTACTGTAGCATCCCATAATCCCCTCTGTTTCAGCCCTGTTTCAAAAGTGCTGATTCTCCGTCTTTTACTTTAGATGAAAATAAGGAGCCACCCCCAAGGTCCCTCTGCGAGATATTTGGTTAAAAAGAACACAATAGGCGCTTTCACACCAAGTACTTTGCTGTACTTAATTAATCAGAACTTAGTTCGACTGAACTCTTTAGTTGGTTACCTTGGTTGGTCATTATCAATCAGTCAATGAATTAACCCCTTGAGGCTGAGGACTTGTGAGTCACTTGAATGGTTATTTGATGAATGCTTCTAATTTACCAAGCTATTATCTCCTTCCTATGTATAAATCCTCAAAGCTGCGTAATAAATTATTTCATTAAAAACCAAATAAAAGATGCTTATAGCTTTTTTTTCCTAACAGCTACAGAGGGTGCTTTATAGTTTTTATCTTATATTTCCAATATAATGAAACCTTCTAACAGATAAATGTAATCAAAAGCAGCCTGGCTCCTGTTCATTCTGGAAATAATGGACAGATACAATCTTGGCAGCAGAGAAATTAAAGTACCCTCAGCAGCACCTCAAATAAATTTCACATATGTGCTTTCATTTGATAGAAAATGTACCCACCTTAAACTCAACCCCAGTGGATGCCAGAAAAAGCAGCAGTGGCTAGTGTATGTTATAGAAATGCGTTTGAAGAAGTGTGTGTCTGTTTGTTTGTGTTTGTTTGTGTGTGTTGTGTATGCCCATGTCTCTCATATCTCCCTCCATTATTTTGTTGCCACTCTAGCCGGGCTCCCTGGAGGCTGTGACACACATTCATCAGCTTTCTTTGACATGAAAAACCCGAACCTCTTGTCACTGCCTCCAAAATCCCTGGGTGCTCATCAGAGGAGGTAAAAGGGGAGAGAAGGGGTGAGGAGAGAAGGGACGCATAGTGGCGAGAGGGAGTGACAGGGCCATTGTTGCAAAAATCCTACAGGGACTTCGTAAGCATCCAACTTTAAAACCGTACATCTCCATAATTTGTCTCTGAGCGAGAGGAAGAGAGATTTTTCAAACTGCCTCCTGGGAATTTCACAGGCAGCCCATGTCCTCTTTAAGGTGTCATATACAAGCAGGCAATACAATGGTTGTACAAGTGTAAACACACCCCCTCATCAGCAACCCTACAGTCCTTCAAAGATTACAGGCTGTTTGCACAAGATCCTATTTACATGCCTTTGAAATTGGTGTCAGAATTCTACGTTCTTAAGGTCACCACGACAAAGAAGTCTAAAAGCCAAGCCTCTTGTGAACAAGCCCCCAGGAAGTGCGCCGGACTCAGATGAAAATATTCGTGGTGGCCAAACGGCGGTACTACACTTCCGTTTGGTTGCCAGGCCCGGAAAACACTTTTTCCCATTGACTTACATGGGGAAAGAGTGGTCTGTAAATCGTTGGATAATTTTTTTTAAACTAAATAAACTACCCAGTATGAACACTTGTATAGCCCTTATTAAAAGCATTCGTTCCTCAAGTTGTAAAAATGTGCTAATAACGTTATTCCGAGAGTTATTTCCCTCTGCATTATGAACGTGCATCTAACCCACGGGACCGTGCCGCCCAGTGTCACCGGCATTCATGTTACGTGTTCAGCATGGTCCCGACCAATCAGAGCACACTGTGCTCAGAGGGAGGGTGGGGGCTGGAGCTATTGGAGCTACAACGAGCCGTTAAAGGCAGAAAGTGAAATTCAATGAATACAATACACGTAGTTTACAGAGATGCTGTATGAGAAACCAATGTGAGTTGCTTTTATCTTTACCCATGGATGCACAATAAGAACGGACCCATATCGTCTTACTGCCATCCCACGGAGCTGTAATAACGGATATATTGCACATGTTTGCTGTAATTCATTATTATACTACATGGGCTGTATGATTTAAATCTTGTACCGTAAATGTTGTATTAAATAAAGTTAATACTACCGACGTTATTAACGTCCCTGTAGTTTCGTATTGCACTAAGAAGCTTATTGCACTGTATATATACAGTGCAATAATTATTTCATGCAAAATGAAGCTCTGTTCCTTGGATATCACTAGATCCTGTTACAGCGTAATATAAGTACATAACGATTGATGTTGACATTAGCATAATTAATAGCTATAGCCGCTAGCTGCTAACTGCCGCCTCGTTAATATCAAATCCATCATAATAACAAATCATTACCATGCTGTCATGAACGCGCGGTTCTGTTACGTGTACGCAAATTGACGTGCTTGATGTGAACGAGCATTTTGGTTAAAGTTGCGCATGCGCTATGAGCGCACATACGGGTACTTCTCAGGCATGCCGGGCAATCTGTGACGTTTCGCTCTCTCAAAAGTTGGGCCATTTTATCATCATACGCCAATGAGCAACTCTCATAGGAATGAATGAGGCCCCGCCTCCCACGCTGTATCCAGTTCTTATTATACATCCATGGTCGCTGCCTGCAATGTAGTGGCTGGCTAAATAATGCAATACTCTTCCATGCCAGTGGGTGGCATTAGGTAGCGCAATAATAACCTTGTTATTTTAAGACGGTTGACAAGACTAACAGCGATGGATACATATTTGAAAAGATTCTGGACGGTCCTTGGACATAATTCTAAACCTGGGGCCGTATTCACAAAGCATTTTATCTTACCGCTAGGAGTGCTCCTAACTCGCGCTAAAACATTTTACGTAGGAGTTTTTTCTTAA